TTTTTCAAGACAGGGTTTCTCTGTGTAGCTTTGGAGCCTATCCTGGCACTCGCTCTGTAGACCAGGCTGGCCTCGATCTCACAGAAATCCGCCTGCCTCTGCCTCCCGAGTGCTGGGATTAAAGGCATACACCACCAACGCCTAGCTCCCAAACACTTTTAGACAGAAGGTCATGCATCCAGGAAATCATACAGTCCCTTCAATAGACCGGTTTGGTTCTGCTCCACATTCAATTCAACAAGCGTTAGTGACAGCAGCTCCTGTATTGCACAACTGTCAATAGCCCACCATGCTGAGGACACCATGTCACCTCTGAGCAGAAGGAACACAGGAAGTGAAATGTATGGTGGACCATACACAGAGAGCATCATAAGGAGAGGGCATCGAAGGCAAAGACAATATGCCGTGGACTGAGAGCAGAATGGAGGGTAGCAGGTTGTTGGCCAGGAGGAAGTGAATGAGAAAGGACTGAGAACAAACCGACCAATGATATGGGACATAAGAATAGTGATGAGTAGGAGCAGGAAGACAGGGACAGAACACAGAAGAAGGAGCAGTAGGACTAGCAGTCTCTGCATCCAGAGCTTTTCCTTTTCCACTCTCAAGGGCCCTGCCTTTTCCCTTTGTTCTTTTCATGCTGCATTCCTTTTCGGAAGAGCTGATCTATACTGACGGTGTCAATGTCCTGTCTACATGGACGAATCTCAACTTCTGTCTCTCCCTACCTCTCTCCTGACCCCAAGGACTAAACATTTGGTGTCTACCGAGATACCTCTTTGCAGTTATTTTTCAGCCCCCTGCAGATGCACAGATTCTAATGGAGCCTGAGGAAGTGGTAGGAACAGTGAAATCCTACTATCATCCTAAGTACCTCCCTGTAGTTGACACTGACCACTCAGCTGTGTGATGTACTCTCCTATGTCCATACCGCCTCCTCCGTGTGCCACCACCCCTTCCTTGGGTCTAGGCTCTCACCATACCTCACTTGGACTATGCAAAACTATCCTCACTCTTCTCGGTGCTTCCAGAATGTTCCTCTAGCCTTCCTGGATACTGCTGCCAGGGCAAGTTTACAACTGAAAACTGGCCTTTTAACACTGTAGGCCATCTCTGTATGGTCCCAAGTTTGCTGCGCTCAGTGGGACCTTATGCCTGCCTCCTTGGATTCACAACCCACTTCTCCTCATGGGAAAACGCTTCAAATCATTCTGAGCTCTTTGCCTACAACAACCTTCCTACTGGCTTAAAAGTAATTTTTTAAATTGAGGCAAAACACACATAGCATAAAATTTGTCACTTAGACTCCATTTTCTCTATCTAGGTCCTTACTATAGATATGATTATATCTTTCATGTGTGTATGGTATGTTTATATGTTTGTACTCATATTCGTGGGTGCATATAGAAGCTAAAGCTTGGAGTTGATTGGCTTCCTTGGTTGCCTTCCACCTTAGCTTTTAAGATGGGCTTCTCATCGAATAAGAGGCTCACTGATTGGGCTAGACTGGCTGCCAATGAGTTTTAGGCCAATGAGTTTTAGGAATCTGTCGGCCCACCACCCCTTCCCCCTGTCACCGAACACACACTGGTGTACACAAACTTTATATGAGTTCTGGGAATGTGAACTCAGGTCCTTGTGCTTGTGCAACAGGTCTGTCACCAACAGAGTCACCTCCCAACCCCCCACACCCCTTTTTATGTAGATGATGGGAATCTGAACTCAAGTCTCTATGAATGTTTGTTAAACTAGAGACAAGAAAGGGAAGTTCAAAGCCAGGCTCTGCATGGATTTTGTGTGTGACTTTTAGCATGTATGATCTCATTTTCAAGGCTAAATAGTTTGTGATACTAAACCACACCCCTCTCAGAATTTCTCAGTTTCCTTATTGCCTACTAAATTAAGAGTGAGCCCCACCAACATAAAAACCCTCTGTAAGTTGACCCTAAACCCCCTATTTCAATCTGGTGACCCATTACTACCTATTACACCAGCTCTCTCTGCTCTCTTCCACTGGTACTAGAACATGCCTCTATCTTTACTCAGTACTTAATGGACACCTACAATAATAATTATGTACCCACTATAAAAAGCACTGGGGGTGCACAAAGTCCACTAATGTTACATATAGAGCTTTGTGCAAGTTAGGAAAAAAATGCCTGCAGCCCAGGTACCCAATAGTCACCCTGGTGCAGTGCATAACTAGGACAATTGTATGCTGTAGCTATGAGACTCCAAAATTAAATGTGAATAGGGTAAATGTGAACTGGAGAAGGGCATCCAACTCAGGCTGAGGACTTAAAAGACCAGGTGAGGTCACACTTTAGCCATTCCTCAGCTTATCACGGGGTAATGCAATTTTCAGTTTGCTATGTAAGTAGAAAGTTTTGAAAGTCAGCATGTATTTTTTAAATTTGTTTTTAAATTTTATTTTATGTGGGTGGGTGTTTTGCCTGCATGTATGTTTGTGTAGCATATATGGGCCTGGCACCCTCAGAAGCCAGCAGATGGCATCAGATCTGCTGGAACTGGAGTTGCAGACAGTTGCTAGCTGATACATGGGTGATGGTAATTAACCCTGTGTCCTTTGGGAAGCAGCCAGTGCTTTTAACTGCTGAGCTGTCTCTCCAGTCCCAACACAAATGCAAATGTCTACTTAGGGGGCTGGGAGATGCCCCCAAGAGCAAATTACCTCCTTTGATCTCACTCACATCTAGCAAGCAATGGGGAACTTGAGAGTGTTGTGATTTAGGATTCAGGCTTAAAATGAAACAGAGATGCTAAGTGGGTGCATCCAGGACACACAGAAAGTCATGGCAGAGCCTAGCTTTGGATTCATTTTTCTTGCCTCTAGTTCAGTTTTGGGTTCCTTCCATCATGTACCCTGCCTGGCAAGGCCACTAATTAACTGTTGCTTTCCACCTGCCCACCTTCGCCCCCTGCTGGCAAGTGCATCTACTTTGTTGCTGTCATTGTGTCATCTTCCATCAACATGGGGAACCAGTTTCTTCTGCCTTCCAATGTGGACTGGCTCTCCATGACCTCTCCATGCCTCCCCGGGTAAGACTGGGACTGCTGAGGCCTCCTGACTTACAGATTTGCAGTGTGCAAAATGGCCATTACTGAACCACACAGCTCATGCTACATCAGCCAGTCTAATAGCTCCGTAGTGGACATTCTTGCTGTCAGTCCTGCTCCCTTGACTAACACATTTGGCCAGTGACTTCAATTTTTAACAGCACTTTCTGCCCCTAGCTGAAGGTGCCTTGCCCATGGCAGGTCTTAGTGTGCTGAGAGGATCAACTGTGCTGAATGGGGAAACTATTCTAACTCAGCAGTCTCCCTGGTGGGAGAATGATATGGAGTGCTATGGGGTAACACATCCCCTCAGCTGCCCCTTCAAAAGGTAAGCTCAAATATCTCACTCAGGGGATCTTTGCCTTCCTTACATTGGTGTGTAGGCCATTCCCGGACTCAGAATCTTTTCTTCTTTCTTTGCTCCTGTGGTGCTGGGGACCCTATTCATGCTAGGAAATGCTTTACAAGCAAGCAACACCCCTTTAGCCTGAAAATTATTTTACCATTTTTACATTTTCACGGAATCTATGTCTTTTTATTTTTTACATAGGGTCTCACTATATAGTCTAGTCTTGAACACCTGCCCCAGTAGTCCTCTATCCTTGGCCCCCTAAATGCTGGGATCATGGCCATGTACTATCTCTGAAAAGCCATTTCTCTGATTTTCCAGCTGAATGAACTCCTCAATCTTAATCCCAGGTAATGAGATTTTGGCAAAAATGGAAGGATAATGCTAATGGTAATTATCCTTAAACATGCATGTTGCTGTGTACAGAAAAGCTTACTGGATCCTCACAGCACCCCATGGGGCATATCCAGTCTTTGACTAGACTCATTGTACAGTATAGGAAATTGAGGCACAGCAAGATCAAAGGGCTTCTCAACATCAGCCAGCAAAGGCACCTGTTCCCAGGCATTCGTTCCTCAGCAGACAAGCCCTCTGCTCTCTGGGGGCATTGAGAAGAGGGTCTGGGAGGTGGACACTTCCACAAACTGATCAGAGGTCACCCACTGTCACTCTTAGACCAGGTCTCTCCTAAGCGACTGTACCCTCACACAGGAAGCTCACAGAGAACACAGCTAGTGCAGCCATGCCCCTGTTCCAACCTGTCCCCCATCACCTGAGGCTCTCTCATTGTTCTGGCATAATGAGCTCTTTACAAGTATCATAATTTCCAGTGCACATCCACCCCCATTGATGGATGATTGTATTCCACAGCTTTGCTGGGTAGGACTACCATTAATTAATGAACACCGTTTGTCTTTAAATATATAAATCAGACACACTCCACACGTGTCCCTTCTCTGTCTTCAGGAGCCTGTAAGATAAAGCAGAAGGTGCTGTGACAAGCCAGTCCTGAGTGCTCTGTGCTCATCCTTCGTATTTCAGGGTGGCTTCCAATTTTTCTAGTCCATAGGGAACCTTTTGTGCTTTCGGTAAAGACTCCCCATCAGAAGGATGACTTTCCCTTTACGGCTCCTTTCCTGGACTCCCGCATTCAGTTAGATCTACCAGACTCAGTGTCCTCAGGGGACTGGGAGCAGAGGCCCTGGGAGACTGCTTCCAGGGGGGGGCACCTCACTGCCTTCCTCCTCCTCTTCCTCCATCACAGTCTGTGCATGGATTGTTTACACCAGCATTTCTCTTCACTGGGGCAGAAAACCGAGGCAACCCTATAGCTGAGGAATCTTTCCCTGTTTCCTTTTCCTTAGACACAATAGCACTCAGTTCTCAAATGTACAAGTATTCTTCTGTCCAGGCATACAAGATCCCATGCTTCCTTTATACTAGAGTTTAGTAGTTAGCTTCCTCATGCCATCATTCTGGGTTCCTTCCTCGGTCCCCCAGATTTGTGAACATGACACCCAGGGCCAAAAGCAGAACGTGGAGGCAGACCGTCTCAGTACCCAGCACCCGAACTCACCATGGTTTATCCCTTGGCCCCTTTGTAGAGAAGACTGTGTGCTGTTTGCTGCTGGAGGTAAGTAGATTGTCTTTGGGCGTTTTAAATGGCTTTGAGGTGCTGCTGACAGCGTTATGGCCGCTGAGACAGGCTTTCGACTTTGCCTGTGCTAGTGATGTCCTGGAATTGGAGGCTGGAGATGCTGGAGAGGGAGAAGGCCTGCACATTGAACTGTGTCTTCTCTCTATAGGGGAAAAAGAACAGAATTTAGCACTGCAACTGTGGCCACTGGGTCCCATGTTCACACACTCATGAACACAGGCACAAAGCAGGCCTCTCCCAGCAGGGTCAGCAGCTCCACAGCCTCTCAAATTTGTTCTGATGTTGGCTTCAATGCCAACTAACAATGAGTACAACCAGGACTTCTGGATCAAATGGCATGCTAAGCTCACCCTAACATTCTTATGGGAGGTATTACTATCCTTCTGCAAAACCACTTCCACGGGAATAGGCGGTGTCACCTGACACAGTGGATCAACCATAAAGCCAATGTGATTCCCAGGCAGCAACACGGATCTCCCAGGGGGAGGACTGGGCAGACTGTTAGAATGAACTCTCCAGCATAGGAGCTGTAGCCTGCTGATAATTATTCTACTAGAGAATTTCTTGGGGTCCAGACCTCTGGTTCCAGTATCTGGGAGCCCTAGCCTTAATTGTATTGCAGATGCTAGCTGATTTGCCACTGAATGACATAGCCTCACTGGAGAATGCCTCCTCGTTTGCATTTCTACAGGCCTAAGCATTTGAATAGGCCTGCACCTGGGCAGAGAACTCAGTCTATGTGAGTAGAGACTGTTTTGAGGTATGTGCTGATAGGGTCTAGAGAGAGGTTGATAAGGAATGGTCTCTGCTTTCATGAGAGTACAGTTAGTAAGCAGTTGAGGAAGATGTGCAATAAATGGGAGACTCCAGTTTGCAGCATGGTGCTGAGAGCTCTCAAAAAACAACAAGATGCCTGTGTCTGGTCTTCATCGCCATTGGGTTGCTGGGAGTTTCCAGGTCCACGCTCCCCCACTCAGGCCGGACCTGGTGGCTTCTGTAGCTTGGGACTGATACAAGCTGGGCCACATCAAGGAGCAACATGAAAGTCAGTGGTGATGGGGGGCGGGGACAGATGTTTGAGAGCCTTTAAAGGCCAGGAGTATCTGCCCCTTCCTAGGACTGTAGGGACAGTCTGCTAACACATCCCAGTTGTAGCCTCTTTAAGCTCACAGAAGTTCAAGAACACAACACATAGACTGATGTAAATGCCTGAAGCAGAACCCACAAAAGCAGCGCATGGATTTGGGAGGGCAGACACAGCTTCCTGTGGTTCTACAGGAAATTCTAGAGGTCTGGGCAGAGATATCTCACTTGTTCACACCCTGTCAGCTTCTATCTTCTTGGACCAACAGGTGTTGGTCCAAAACTCAGTTATTCGGGGTCCCAGGACACGTTCACGGTCACCCCAATCACCAGGCGTATTTGAGAGCTTGCTGCAAACTGCACAAGGCTTTATTGTAATTTAACGAGCTAACTCCACGTTAGCTCGGGTCTTTCACCCATCCGCCGTGGCAGATGGCTCGCAAAAGACGGCTCCTAAGGGCTCCCGAGAGATCTTATAGGACAGCGTAAGGGGAGTGTCTAGGGGTACGCACAGGCTCAGGATTGGTGTGCCTCCAGGCTTGGAGGGCTTGCCCTGTGTTGATTGGTCAACTGGTTGTTAGGGTCCATAGGCCCTCCCAGGGTGATCTCTACGTCATTGCTGTGCGCTTGTCTGTAAAGCACACCCAGGGTCGTAAAGCATAGCGCCACCAGCTAACTTCTGATTGGTTCCTTGTCACGAGGCAGGCATCTGACTTTCTAGTGTCTAGGACAAGTTCATAGAAGCACGTGTTCGGCCGTTATGGCTGCCAAAAGGGAAGCTGGTCCCTTCACAGGTAGGAAACAGACCCAGAGCGGGACTGATGCAAGAAGCTAGGTTCTGAGACATACCTGTATGGTGGCTGTTAACAGTTTTAAAGTCACGGGTTTGACAAAAGTTAACAACTCCAGAAAAGTATATTTCTACATGCCCAAAAGCTTTGCACACAGTTCTGGGAAAGAAACCTCAAACTCTTAAAAGATGTTCCTGAAATCTAAGTCCCCTCTGGCTCTCCTGTGCCTTCAAGTAATTAGCTGATTGATGCTTGCTGAAGAAATAAATGAATTATCAATAAAAGTCCTGGTGGGAAGAACTGGAGATCACAAATTTCGTCTGCTTTGACAGTGGAAATAAAGGTGAAAAGAATGGAAATACGGTAGATTCTATCTTCCCTCCAGACAAGACCTATCTCAGGTTTTCTTCTGGATGAAGCATTTCTGACTGCTGTGCTAGGAGCCAGCTGGACCCAAAAACCCAGAGTGGCCTTTGAGAGCAGTTTGGGGTTCCTCTATCACCTCTCATCCCAATGGACTGTCAGGGTCCCTCAAAGTTGACTGTTTGGAATTAGGGGCTATAGTTTGAGGACCATCTGATTGTCATCTGAAAGCATTCACCTTCTATCTCTATAGAATAACTCTGTGTGGAGCCACTGTCCTTCACTGGCTCAGAGTAAACCCTGCACACATGCCATGTTCCAGAAGCCACCCACTGAAGGCTTTGAAGACCAAGATCTGTTTTGATGCTCTAGAGAGGATGCAGGGCTGGGAGCCAGCATGCCCTGGGTCCTAACACCCTTGTGGTAGGCTTAGGTGCCTTCAGTGCTATGCTGGCTCTTAGCATCCATATCTTCATCTATAAATGAAGTGGGTCCCTAGATGGTTCTCAGGAGTGGAAACTCCTTGATTTGGAATACAATGCCCACTAAGACCTTCTCCTCATCTTTTGCGATTCCTAAATATTACAGCAACAATTAGAGATGGAGTATTGAAATAACTCATGTGAGTAGGTTCCTCCTTAGAAGAACTCACTCTTTGTAAAATTGTACTGGCTTTTAAAACCCCTATGTTGTCCCCTGTCAGCAAGCAGGAACCAGGCATGTACTCCTTACAGCTAACTGGCTCTAGGAGACACAGAGAGGCCAGGTAATTGCCAAGGTCAGGACCAATGACTGCTTGAGGAATAGGGCCTTGGCCATGGGCCCAACTATCTCACAGGAAGGAAATGGGGCGTACTGTAAACAAGACTGGAGAACATGACGTCACTAAAGGTTAGACATGGGCAGTTTGAGTGTACTAGCTTCATATCTGTGAAACTCACAGGGAAGATCTAGAATATGGCCATGATGGGACCAGAACCGAGCCCCTTCAAGTCCTTAGTGTTTTGTGCCCTTCAGAAATACCTTTTTGAGTGACATATTTCTTCTTCTTTTTTTAACACAGGATTTTGATTCTAAAATAAGATTTTTATTTCTATCACAGCTCTTTCATATTTTTCTCTAACCCTTCATTCACTCACCAACTCATTCAAAGCTGGTGGGGACTGGAGTATACAGAAATATCACTTAATTAGCCTTTGATAACTGAGTAACAAAAACCTTATTTTTCTAAATTAATGGTTAAAAACTGTTGAAGTGGTGGGTAGGGAAATGAATGGGCAACAACATATAAATATACACATGCAGCCAGTGATGATGGTAAACACCTTTGACCCCAGCATTCAGGAGGCAGAGGCAGGCAGATCTCTGTGAGTTTGAGGCCAGCCTGTTCTACAGGGCTACACAAAGAAACCTTGCCTATTAAACAAACAAACAAACAAATAAATAAACAAACATACATGCATGAAAAATACTGTACAATACCCATTACACTTTGTGACCCAAAAAGCTAATAGAAGTAAGCAGAAATGAACCACACCAAATTGTCATTAATGTACAAGAATGGGGAGGAGGGGGAACACTACCAATTCTGAAATCATCTTCATAGAGAAGTTGTGGTCCTATTCTTGGCCCATATATTATACTGTTAAACTAGCATAAACACTAAATCAACGATTTTTTTTTTCTTGATTTTATGGCTTTTTGTTTCCCCCTCCTCAAGTCTTCCCTCCCCTCCCCCTTTCTGGCTTGTTGAGACAATGTCTCATAGCTGGCCTTGATTCACTAGTTACTTGTGGCTGTGGTGACCTTGAACTCTAATCTTCTACCTCAGCCTCCCAAGTGCTGAAATTACAGCCCTAGTTTACAAGGTACTGGGGATAAACCCAGGACTTTGTACCTGCTAGGCAAGCCACATCTTCAGCTCCCATAAATCCTTCTTAAATATCTATTTGAAAGAACAAGTTGCATGTAAGAGATATTTGTCAAGACCTGATGGTCAAATTTTGTGATTTTTTTAACAAGTAATTTTATACTAAAGTAGGCAAAAGAACAATTTCACTCTTAAAGGTCAGCATTTGGTTCCTTTGTAGGAACAAGCCTGACCCCTACTGGGGCAGGAGAGAAAAACCACACAAGCATTTGAAATGGCAGAACCTGGGGCTTCACTGTGTTAGGGAACTGAAAGGCAAGCACACTTTTGAAATGTGTGGAACTGCTGTTCCAGGCAGGGCAGAGTGAGCACACTGAACAGGAAGACCCTCATTGGCTTCAATCTGAGGGTCTCTAGCATGGGAAGATTGCCTATGGAAACCTTACATAGTTGTGTCTTTGGGTGGAGAGGTGGGGTTGGTGGTCACAGACAGCAAGGTCTTAGTTACAATAAATACATTGATGCACAGGTAGCCTTCAGTGGGCAAAGCTTCCAGTATGTTAAGTTCCTGTCTTAGGTAAGAGCCTATCTTGATTCTAGTTCCAGCTTACCTTCGGGAAGGGTTGGCAGTACACTATATTCTTCATTCACTATGGAAATATTTAACAGACTTAAGCAATGTTAGAAAGAAGGATCCTTTCCCTCAAAATTTGTCTTTGCAAATATACACAGCTGTATTAACAAAACTGTATTTTTTACTATTTTTCAACTAACGTTGTTTTATGTATATGCATATCTAATTCCCAAGTGCTTTTCATATTCAGTCATTAATATATTGCAGAATATTTGGCTACTCTCTTCCTGTCTGGCATTCTAAAAACTAACACATAAAGTGATATAGGACTTTTTCTTGAGGTAACGTAACATTCCCAATATGAAAACTTGCATCAGTTTATATCTCTTGCTACACACTTACTTCCAGACCATAAGCTATTATGCTCTAAGTACCTACTAATCCCCTACCCAAGAGAAATC